GCAACACCAGCAGCCACCATTGACTCCAGTGCAGTATCCACAGGAAACCAATGGTTTTGTCGTGTCCCCGTCCAGGACGCCCGCCCCCAGCCACCAAGACACACAAGGCATGATACCCGTGCCCGATGATATGAAGCGGATCATTGCAGCTCAGATGGCGGCTGGACACCCATACCCGGTGCCGCAACAGCAATATCGGCCCAACCCAACCGTCATGCGCCAACAGCAGATTCAGCAACAGCAACATCAGCAAATGCAGATGGGTGGCTGGCAGAACGCTGGCCCTTACTTTGGAAAGCTCATGGTTGGTTCCTTGGCTGGCCTCATGCTGATGGAAGCGGTACGGGAGAACGAGCAAAGCAACGAGACACCGGAAGGTCGTGGCTTGTTTGCCTTGCCCATTCATCTCTTGCACTTCTTGACATCCTCCCTCAATATCGATTTCATGGGCTACCACGTGGCGGGATCCTCGATTCTGCACGCTATCAAGGTTGCTCTTCTTCTCTGCTGCGTATGGTGGGCAGTCATGCCCTCTATTCTTGCACCGAAATCGGCCAAAGCGTCCTCCAGCAAGCAGCGGCAGACGTCGCTGGAGGCTGTCAAACTTGCTTCCCCGATCCATGTCCGCCGACAAGCCTGGCTCACAGCCATACAGACTGTCTGGGTGCCCCGACACAACTTCTTCTTAGAAGCCGCCGCTCTCAGGCTCAAGACTGTCAAATTGAGTCTTCAGAATCTTGTTGGTATCCACGGCTACAAAATGTTGACTGGACTGACACAAGACCAAGAAGTTGCCCGAGTTCAGGCTTGGTCTATTGCGCTGGATGCTCAACTCGCCGGCGGTGACGACGAGATCAGCAAAGGCCGGCTGACACTGACTTTACTCGCATCAGGCACGCTTCCCTCTACGCCCTTACGTCTCATGTTGAAAGCTCTGCATATCAGAGTCTTGCTTTGGGAGATTGGTCTGTCTGGCGTTCACATCGGGTTCGTTGACACAATCGCAATCAAGCTGGCCCGGGCGCAATGGAACAAGGCGAAGCAACTCCACCGCATGATCGTCCAAATGCGTCGCAATGGGCAAGAGTCCCCCGAGGAAGAGCTGCCCGACCATCTTGCCGCACTTCTCGAGCAGGATTGCGACGATGTGCTGAACCCAACCATTATCCAGCGCGCGCACAACTTGGCCTGGAACCGGCCGACCGAGCACGAAGCCATTGGAGTGACGAACGGCATGGACACAATTGTCGAGGACATTGCTGTGCGCTCGCCCATGGAGGCCATTGCCGCTTGGTGGTCCACAATGACGCTCCACGGCGCTCTGGCGGACGTCCTGCTTGAGACTGGAGAAGGTGCCTCGGAGAAGACGATTGTGGTGGAGGACGCCATTTCGCTGGCCATCCGCACTGCGCCCATTGGATCTGTCGCTGCCAACCGTGCGCTTGTCGCCCGTGCCCTCCTTTTCAAAGAGAAGCGGAGTGCCAACATCGTGGCCGCACTCCAGGCCATCGGCCCCGTCACTCCATCGCTGCTCAACTCTGGTGTTGTCGAGCCTACCAAGGACTCTGATGCTCTTGATAAGGAACTCTCTGCCCTGAGCGTCATGTCAGCGGAGCTCCGGGTCTCGCTGTCATGTGCCATGGCAATTGCTCACCTCGAGAAGTTCACACCGCCAAACGAGCCAACCAGGTTCATGTACGACCTCATTCGACAAATTCGCATGAATACAGAGCACATGGGGATGCTGGGCTGCATTGCTGCCTATGAGCTTATGGAGCGGCTGTCTGGTCACGAGACCGCTGCTGAGGCATGCGCCAGCACATTGGAGAGCTTAGCGGGCACTCTGAGAATCTGGGCCGGCAAAGCCACGTCGCTCGAAACCGATGTCAAGCATCAAATTGTTGAGCGGTGCCTGATTGTGAGCCGTAGACTGGTGGGGATCGAAAGCGACACCGACACTGGCTACGGGTCCATGAGCGAGGGCGATGAAGTTGATGCCGTGACATCACATGGAGAGCTCAGCAATATGTCTCAAGTGGCCGAAATTTCGTCATGACGCAGGTCGACACAGCATTGAATGTCAAGTTGGTTGCTGTGCTGGTCTGATGTCCAAGCTGTGAGAGCCCATGGCGTGTTCGCCGTCACCCCACTTGCATCCGAGCTACCTTCATGAAGTACATCATGTGCGCCTGTCCTATAACGTAATCCACAAGCAAGCGGGTCACACAAGCGACCGGGTCACCCTCCCAGTACTCGTACGACAATATATAAGTCAATTCAACCACAACGCCTCAAATCAATTCAAACTACTCAGAATCCTCTTCTTCAGAGGTAGACTCAACTTTCTGACAGGTACGCGCATTATGGCCGGGCTCCCCGCAGACGCCACAGCGTCGCGCGCGCGTTTCGGGCCTCCTCGTACGACCACTATTCTGACTTGTTTCCGCTATTAACTGCTGCGTCGCATCGATTTGAGCCTTCAAATCCTTTGCCTGATCAATCGTGAGGGACCCTCCTTTCTGTAGCTGCTTTCTTTTCGTACGACGACGGCGGCTGAGGCGGTCGTTTGCATCTCAAAGTTCGGCGAGCTCTTGGCGCATAAGGTCCTGCTCGTGTACCATCATTATGACTCCTTTTCTCAGCTGCTGTACGCTCTCAACAATGGACGACGGTGAGCTATTCTGGTGTCGTACGATGCGATTTTCAATGTACTTCGTCTGCGATTCGGTCTCAATTGGGTTGTTCGGCGTCTTTGAAACCCATGGGGGTGGTAGTCCAGCAGAGGAACCTGGCGGTGTCGGCGTATGAAACTTCACATCTAGCTGCGAAATCACATAATTCGGGTCGTACGGTACTAGGCCTGTCGCTCTAAAGCCTGCCTGGATGTTTGATTTGGTCATTGCAGCGTCGTACGCCTTATAAAAGGCTGGGAGGAAGTCCTCCTTTAAAACGTGGGTTATGTGCGCCCGTATTAGACCTTCGATTTCTTTACCGTACGCCCGTTTCAGAGGTCCAAAGCACCCAACATCGAGAGGCTGGAGCTTATGCGACGAGTGAGCAGGCATACAGAGCGTTACGATATTCTGTTCCTTGCAGTAGAGCTCGAAATCGACTGAATGGTGGCTCTCGTGGCCGTCGAGGATAAGGAGGCGGTGGGTACCCTTCGTACGACTCTTTGTATGGAAATCAAAGTGTTTTACCCATTCTAGGCCTCTCTCGTTCGTCGTCCAACCGTTTTCTGAAAGCGCGATTACCCAGTTGGCCGGTAGAGGGCTATTCGCGGTCCAGGAGTCGAGGTGGACCTTCCCGGCGAAGATGATATACGGCGGGATTAAATAGCCGTACGACGCGATGCCCTGGATTACTGTAACCCATTCCTGATTCCCTTGTTGTACGGCTCTTGGCCTCCCGCGTCGATCGGAGGTCGTAACGACGGTTTCGGCGGAGATTTTACCCATCGCGAAGCCCGTTTCGTCGAAGTTATAGATATCGTCATCGTGGATCCCGTATTTCGCGATTATGTTTTGTACGAGCTCAAACCACGCGCGATACGCGTCCGGATCCTCGCAGAGGACCCTCTGGTAGTCGATTCTTCGATTTAAACGCGTACGGAGCTCAGGTCGTCGTCGTACGAAGTTTGCGGCCCAGTTCGTTCCGACGCGTGGCGCGTCGCGTACGCGGAGGAGTCGATCCGCCATTTCTCGAACACCACTAAGCCGCGGCGGAAACGATCGCGAATCTAGGTCGATTACGTATTGTACGATACTGTCCTCTTCGTACGAGGTCAATTTCTGGTTACGTGGTCGGGTATCGCCTTTCGCAGAGCGGCCGTGGTATCGTTGTTGTAGTGTTGTACGTGATACCTTATATATCGATGCAGCCTTTCGTACGCTTAATTTAGGGTCTGATTGAAGCGCATTTAGCGCGAGAATGATCTCTGATTCAATTGATTGTCGTGGCATACTTATTCGTGGAGAAATTAAGGAAAGAAGAGGAGTAATTGAGAATTGCAGGAATATGACCCGGTCGCTTGTGTGACCCGCTTGCTTGTGGATTACGTTACCCTTTCACAATCACACGGCGTTATAATTTCATTTTGTCACAACAGGTGGTCTCGACAATGGGCTTCACCAGGCGTTAGGTTGTTTGCCTGATATGGCCGTGGTCTATCTTGTACACTCACATTCCCGGTCATCTCTTCTCTGTATTTTGGTCCCATGGGACCCGCACAAAACGTCCTCGACAATCTTGGAACTTCTATGGTCTTCATATCTCAGTCTCGCCGAGACAGGCGATACATCCTTTGCACCACTGTTCGCCTTTCCTTCCTGTCTTGTCTTTACCATATACTATAATGCTTTTACTAGTGGAGGTTGATGAAATGAAATCACATGGGGGACGGACTTCTGCCAATATTTAGACGCGGAGCGAGCGAGCCGGGCGGTACTCATCTGAGGCAGGCGAATTAAGGGGCTGTTTTAGATTATTATTATTTTGGAAACTGTACACACAAAAACGGAATGAAGCAATGGAAAAAGATTTTGAAACATTACACTGCCTCCACCAGACGCAAGATTGCCCAACGTTCTGTTCCTGTCCGGCGGCGAGCTTGTGTGACCAATCAATTGAAGCCTTCGTCTCGCTTGTTGCTGGGTGCTCTTGTCCTTCTACACTCCTTCAGCCTTTGTCAACCAAGTGACTCTCGCTCTCATTTGCTGGTCTTTTTGGGCTGCAGCAAGTCGGCCAAGAATCTTGGTTAACGGCATGTGTGTGTGTCTACGCGTAAAGGAAGCCCGGGCGGGGATTCTGCTCTGGAACGTCTCGGTGGTGGACCACTGCGGTGCAGCAGCATGTTGTTGATCCATTTAGTTTCCCGGGGGGGGGGGGGGGGGGGGGGGGGGGCCGGAGGCTCAGCATAACTGGAATGTCAGGTGCGATGTGTGCGTGCGTGTGTGTGTGCACATCACGTATTATTGTACCTTGTTCTCCACGATGGCCGCCGCATGGGATGTTCTCAAGGTTGGCTCGGATTCACAAAGGCACCCACCCATCCGATTCAAGGACCTAATTAGCTTCACAAAGGTCCTCGAGCTGCCCTGCTGCTAATTGACGCGCGCAGACTTTCCCGCGAATTATACTAGTTACTCGTACAGGACGACAAGGACATTGCCGGGCGAGTATTACTCGGCATGTTGTCATTTCATTGTGCGCAGCCGAAAATGTGCTGTCTTTTTGCAGCGTGAAAGCCAAAATGAAGTTACGTTAAACGTGGTAGTTGGCTCACAACAATCCCCGAAACCAACCTCGAGCCCATCCCAGCCAGGTGACGTCTTGGCCCGCTTGTGCTTGTGAGGCCAGGGTGCTGGATCTTGAGCCCCTCGGAGCAGAGGCTTTGCTCTCTGGGTTGGATGGCGTGGCGGCAATGTAGGCCACTTCAAGGTCAAACTTGCCTTGCTGGTCGCCGAAAAAGCTAAGCATACACACGGGGTTAGCATGGTTTGATGTATGCGCGCGCGCGAGGGAGCATATTTGAGAGCCTCAGCAGCCTCCGGGGGAGAGTCCGATAATCGCCACGCCTTCTTCACCAGGCAAGCGTCGCCCAACATTCGGTTTGTCGGGAGGAGAGAGAGAGAGAGACAGAGACGCACCTTCTCATCCATGATGCTCAACCGCTTGATACCAGTCAAGTCCAGAGGATCGGCGTCGGGCATTGCCTTGCCGCAGTACGTTGGCTTGAAGTCGGCCCATGAAATACGCAGCTCACTCTGCTCGCCGACGAAGTCGTACTCCCAGCTGACGGTGCTCTGCTCCCTGCCATCCGGTCTCTTGGGGAGGATCTCGTCCTTGAGAATCAGCGTGTACTTCTTGCCATCTCCGTTGACGATCTTGATGGACAGGCCAGAGTACGGCGAAAGGTCCCAGGACTTGGAGTCGGCCGTGCGCTGGGATGCGAAGCCTGCGCCGCCGAGGGCAGTGATGTCTAGGTTGCCAAAGAAGCGGGCGTTCTGGTGCGTGGCGTCACTCCCTGACGGCGACGCGGCTTCGAGATGGCTCTGGCTCTTGCCGCCGCGGACGCGGTCGTCAGAGGCATGCCATGAGTCGAAATCCCACGAGCTGCAGGGAAGGGCAAAGTGATGAGGTCATCAAAGGTCAGCGCTGGGCAGCTACAATTGGCATGTGCGGAACGGCCAGGGCAGGAAAGAACTGACCAGGTGCCGCCGAACAGATAATGGAGGGACTCGCTGCCTTGCATCGACATGGCGCAGGGAGCAACTGGGCCCAAAGGGACGTGGTTGATGGGAATGGCTGCCGAGGGCTTTGCTGTCGTGTGAATCTGGCTGGCGCCATCGTTGTAGATGTGGGGCAGAGCGCTGAGGTTTGTTACCACTTGAGGCGAGCTAGGCTAGGCGTGGGATAATTAGCCGGAATGCTGCTGCATCTTGACATGTCGTCGTCCTCTGCTGCTGGCGTCATGGCCTCGGCCAGCCCGCGTGCTTGTGTCGTTTCGCTTGTCGATAATGGACGCAGGCAGCTCTCGTGCTGCATGTCGCGTCTTTCATCTCGCGAAAAAGCAGACGGAACCAACAGGATCAGTAACGGCTATTCAAGGTGCTGACGCTAGCACGTGGGCGCCGTTGACAGCAGCCGCCAACACGCCACGGAACGGACGGCCCAGGGCCAAATAGCCATCTGACTGCAGCAGCGAGGCCTGGCCCAGCCCTCACACAGCAAAAGATGGGCAGCCAAGGGCCAGGGTCGAGACCGGGGCCAAGACCAGGCAGGACCTGGACCAGGAGAGCCCGTGCCAATCTCTCTCGCTCGGGTACGGCTACCGCCAATTGTCACCCCTCACTGCTGCCTGGCGGTTGCCTGCCTGAGGCACAAGTGTGTCGCCCACTCGGGGACCTACCTCGTTACCCTCGACCAATCACAGCACCCGAGCCGTATTCCGACGTAATTGATCGACTCTAGCGCAAGCACCGTTCTGCACATACAGTACACACTGCACAATCCCCAGAGGCTTCATCTGCCCGGCTTCCTCGGCCCCGAGTAGGTACGCACGTACGTCACTGGCGGCCGCGGATGATGGGTGCAGCACCACGCAGACCGGCCTGGCCAAGGAACGCCCTCGGAGCTCCCGGGCCATCATTAACACCGGCGGCTTTTGGCTTTTGTGGGCGGCGTTTAGATGACCCCGGCCAAGTACTGCATACTGTACCTGCGAGAGGCTGCTTTGCTCGCTGACAAAGTCGCACATCAACATCATGACCAACGAGATGACCATAGCTGAAATGTGTAGTCGCGCGACGAGGGGACGCTTGTTTAGTGCGCGGCTAAGTAATGTTTGCCTTCACTCATACTAATTTTGAGCACAACCGTTATATGACCGAGGAGGACCGAGCACATCTATCTAGCTTTTCTTCCAGTGCTTTCACCGCTTCGGCCAAGACTGCCGGCATACTCAAAAACGGGCAGTGTCCGGCTTTCAGGGTAGTGGTATGGAGGTTTGAACCCAGTAGGGACGCCATATGCTTCTGATGTCCAATTGGCAGCGCGTTGTCGTCCTCACAGTAAATATATGCACAGGGAGTCAAGCCGGTGGCCCATGGCTCATAGTTGCTGGCCTGAGTGAAGAGTGATAGTGCCGTATGAGTCATCTTCCCCGCTCATTTCGTCTGTCCTTCTCTGTCCAGGTCATTGAAAGCAACCGAGGCCACCAGGCTTGGCTTTCCAAAGACCTTCTCGCCCTGTCAAGCATCGGCCATTAAGGACTACCCCAAGAAATAATTGAAAAAGGTCGGGGTACTCTATGATACTCACCTGCACGTCCATCCAAGGGAGAGGCTGGCCTCCAAGCAAGTCCATGAGGCTTTCACCCTTCCGCACTAAGAAGGCAGCTAGGTATATCAAGCCCACGACGTTGTCCTGTCCGGCAACTGCATTGCTGCTTATGAGACCGCCCGACGAGTGCGCAACCACAAGAGCTTTCCTTCCCTCATTCGCCAGCGACCTCAAAGCCTGCTGTACGGCTGCAATGTCATCATGTAGATCTGGAGGCGGATCTCTGGCGCTACCGACCGTTGGCAACGACACGCAGAAAGCTCCGAATCCCAGGGTGTTAAGTTCATGAACGAAAGCATCGTGGCAGACAGGCTTCAGCCACGCGCCAGGTACGATGACAATGACGGGTTTTGGCATGGTGTCCACTTTCTGGTCAGAAGCTGTGGCACGTCCGCGAACATGAGTACCGGCCTACTCGTAGTGGCAGGCACTGAAGCTTGCACTGATAGCGTGTACAGTACAGTACTGTAATATATGGTGAAATGCATAAAGACTCTCCTTGGGCACTCCATCAGCGCTGCGACTGCAACTTTGTTTGTGCTTAAAGACTCAATTTGTTTAGTGCCATATTGCGGCTGTCACAAACCCCCTCCCCTTGTGGAATACGATGGTTTCGGAGAAGTCGGCCCAAAAGTCTTGGCACTGCATCATTCTCGCTCGATTGTAGCGTGCCTCGAATCAAGCCCTATTCATCGATTTCGTTCGGAAAGGGCATCTAACCGACGTTGTCAGCACACATTATTATTGTCTATCGTTCCCGTAAGTCTGTTGCTTTGCATTCAGCCGTCGCTGATCGCACCCGCGCATGAATTGGGGAGGGTCACATGGCGTACCATATGCCATCTCTACGAATCACTATCCTTAAGGGGGCGAAAGAATGACGGGCCAACACGAGTTTTGCCTAGTAATGAGCTAGAATGAGCGACCGGAATGAGATATGGAGCAATGGATGACAATCCCGATGTGGGTAGTCTAGCAACGTTTGCGCAATCCGCGCCCGTCCTCGCTCGATAGAGGTGATGCAAAAAATGGGTGGAGGTGTGCCTACGTGGCTAAAGCGCCACAGCGTTGACCCTCGGAGCCGTGGTCCCCTGAGTCATGCAATAAAGACTGTGACATGATTTTCCATCCATTGGCATTGAGCCGAAGCACAGCTCCAAGACTCACAGTGTTCAAATATCTGTCCTTTTCTCCCAAATGAGCACGCGACATTTCAAGTCCTTGCGGCTTCGCATTTACCTTCTTCAAAGGGCAACGATGGAGCAGCTCAGCAATCTGCACGAAAAGGCTCCTGGGACGATTCCCTTACAACGCGGGCACTGCTTCAATGCGGCCGGTACTCGGTTGTACTACTGCTGGGCTAAGATACAGAAGGTCTTTTAGATGTCCGGGCCAAGTATTGTCACTCCGAACCACGGCTCGCGAATTTGTGTTGCAACTGATGCAAGACATGGTTGACCTATTGATAGTCCGCCACTGTGCAGAAGAGCGCCCCACCCGCCACCGGCATTATCAGAACTTCACATCTCGAGAACGAGGATAATAGGGAGCACAGGTCTGGGAAGATATTCAAAGCCACGGGATCGGCGGTTAATATGCCTCGCAGACCATCGCGACGAAGAAGAGGCCGATAACCTGCGCACCTGGACCTTTGGTCTCAGTGGGCAGTAAATCTCCCCCAGCAGGTATCCCGACCATGCATGATCTCTTGCATTCGCTTGTCTCTTAGCATTCTGGGGTGTGTGGAAAGAGATCACACCGTAAAGCGGGCTTGGCCAATTGTTGCAATTATGACTGCAGGTATGTACGAAATTACTCACCAGCGATTTTACTGGGACAGTAGCGAGTGGGAATAGCTCTAAACTCCTGGTGAAATGCTCTGATTATGCCACGCAGGAACCAATTATCTCCTTTCATTCTGCAGCTTTTCTTTATGGATAGACTACCCGTGGTAAAGTCATATATTTCGAAATCCGCGATGTCTGTGGGGGCTGGGGGAGTGGTTGTCATGTTCCCCGGGCAGAAAGTCAAGCGAAAAGGAGAGGATATAAAAATAGAAAATGGTTGCCATAATCCATTCCAAAATGGCACCGAGGTCATAGTCGGATCGGTCCTGTGCCGCAATAAACATGGTGCCGAGTATCGCTTCAACGGTGAAGAGGAATGCTTTCGTGCAAAAGGAAAGACGCAGGATCCCATTTCGGCATTGATCTATCCAGGACTATTAGTCAAGTTCATAAACTCGCAGTCCTGTCTTACCTAGTCGGTAATATTCCCAGGAGACGAAAATGCCTGAAGAGAGGTATCCGAAGATAAAAAGTACTAGAAACGCAGTGTGCAGTCTTGGGAAGTGGGAAATATCAAATCCCGCGAGGCAACATAGCGCGACGCTGCCTGCCGAGACAAGTAGCACGGCCAATGACGTAGGAACCTTTTGACGCAGCACAGTCTCGAATGGACCACACGTTCTCCATCTGTCAGAAATGAAGGCGATGTTGAAAAGAGTTGAGGAGCTTATCGAGCCGGCGATGAAAAGTGGCTTCAGCCTATGGGCCGCTACATCCGAAATGTACGCTATACTCTGGTTCGGCTGCATGGTGTCGTACCGCATCCGGCCACTGTGAATATCCCATTCGAGGAACAATAACAGAAGTGTTGTGAAGCCGATACATGCCGAAGATAGTGGAAGTAACTGTTTTTACGTAAGTCTCCATGGCAAAACACGCTGGCAGGGATGACGAACCCAAAATTTCATAGTGTCTTTTGAATTTGCGACTTCAAATCTGGTGAAACGTGTTGAAGGCGGGACGAGACTGGCAGTCTTGCGGTGATGGATATGCACACGACCTTCACGAAGATGAGCGCATTCTGGACGAGTGCGTACCCGCTTTACCATGTAGATTAGCCCGGTCTTGTTTGTCTTGAGGGGCCATGTTCCTGCTTATGTTACACAAATCAGCCCACATTGGCTCATAGATGCATTTGTAGCACCCATCGGTAGATGGGATTGTCCCGGCTCTCCTTTGCAACACCCCTGCTTTAGTATGCCTGTAAGTGTCTAATGCTATGTACTGCTTGCACCTTTCAACTCATTCAAAATGGTCTCCAGTCGCCTCGACAAGGCACATGACATTGAGGCGAAGCCCTTTCTCCCCACTCAAGTAGTGCTGATCGGAGCGAGCATTGGATCAGGTCATACCTCTGCTGGCCTAGAGCTTCAGCGGCGGCTTGAAAATGATGGCATCAGCACCGAATACCACGATATCGTCGACGCCTTACCCCTTTTGATCAGAGTCATGCTTAGAGACTTATATGCGCCTCTGGCCACCTTCGCCCCTTCACTCTTCAGCTGACTTATGTTGGCTTGGGGGGTGGAGTCCTCGTGGATGATACGCATGCTACTGTGGACCGCTTCGGATCGCCGAGTCCTGGGGTGGATGCGGGATAAGCAAGCCATTATTACGACACACGCCATTGCCACCCAGATTGCTGGCAGGCTCGGAATTCGAGTCAAGCATAACGTGCCAATTGCGTCGTATCATTGTGATGCAGGAATACATCCGCTAATGCTGTACCGTCTCACCAGCCTGAATCTCGTACCGGCATATGTCGCAGCACTGGCGTGTAGGAGGTATGGGCATGATGCCACAGTCATAGGCCCTCTGGTCGGGCCACGGCTTAGAATGCCCGTCTCGGACACCGAGTGCTTCAAACTAAAGAAAAGCCTGGGGCTCTGCTCCGCATCCCCCGTCACCCTGTTAGTAGCTGGATCGCTGGGGATTGGCAAAATCGTCGAAACTGTAGAAGACATCCTAGAGGAATTGGCTACAGCCCGGCTTCTGGTTCTTAGCGGGAGGAATGCGGGTTTACGGAAGCGCCTACGTCCATACTCGCAGCTGGTCGATCTGGGCTGGCGGGAAGATATCGCCGAGCTAATCGCCATCTCCCATGTCATAGTGCACAATGCTGGCAGGATAGCAATCTGGGAGGCAATGATGTCTGGCCTGCCCACCGTCACGTATATTCCGCTACCGGGCCATGGCAGGGCGAATGCTCTAGCCCTCGAGGAGGGTGGTATCTCGCCCTGGCCCTGCGATCGTTCTGATCTCGGCCTGACGCTAAAGCGCCTCTTAGCAAGTGGAAGAGGAGGAATCCGATCAGACTGCGACACGATCGTGAGCAGATATATTTCTCGAATGACTAGCTTCGCATCCTATGAAGGACGGTGACCATAGCGCGGGCAGCGGACTTTGCTTTAGAGCGTATGTTAATGGCTACTTCAGACGTTCGCTCACTCGATCCATCCCGAGTGCACATGAACTTGATGGTTACGATAAAGCAAATTTGTTCGTCAGGCTGGCCAAGGGGGAGGAACCTCAAGAATCAAATTGGCATAAGTCCAAATTGGTGACATGGCAGTCACGCAAGCGATGACATTGACGCAATTCCAAGAGCAAGTGGGCATCGCAAATGGATAATGAAAACCGTTCTCCCGCACTCTTCCCAGCAAATCCATCTCAGGCACTGGCCGTAGTATTTGGCGAGCTAGTGATGCGCTAGGTCCCCCCCAGGCCCAGCTATATGTCGTCCCATCAGCTCATCAGTGCTCTAGTCCGCAATGAGGGACGAAGGGAAGTGATTGTCCGTGTCTGCCTTGAGCGTGGCGGAGTTGTGGCGTCCTGCACTCGATCCAACACCACAAGGGTGAGTTGTGGATTTTTGCTCTGGCAAGGCTGCCTTGTAGTTGGGCAAAAAAAAGGGTCCTACCTCTCTTCATGTTACTTGATTGCTCGCCCGTCTTGGAAGCGTCATCAGACCTTGAGCATCATCGAGACCGCTGCATTTTCTACGACACTCATGATGTACACTGAAATAGGGCTCCGAGAAGCTCAGGCATCTTTGTCAGCAGTTCTATTTTACAGGAGCCTTTTCAGCATCTTCACCCTTATACTAGACTCGATGGGCTCGGCCATCCCTGAAAACCAACGGAGAATGCCCGGCCATGCTATACTTGGGTCGAGGACTAGCGAACTGGTAGCGAACTGGATGTTTTAGAAGTGGCTTACGGACTGGCCCTGTTTTTCGAATGGCTTCACTTTATATTCAGCTACTATTTCGCGGCTAGGTTCGTTATCATCGACGTCTTAAACGCCATCGCAATGACGACCATCGCTGCCACCATCTGGGGGTCGAGACGACAACTCCTGGCGTTTCACCACCCCTTCACCTTCGTGTTGATGATTTTCTACCAGAGTCTCACACTTATCCGGCTTCTCTTAGAAGACCAAGATATCCCCATTGGGTTCATGGCCCTGCTTGTCTTCACGACCACAGAAGCCTGGATCCTTCTCTTGATCATAACGGGCGATTGGATATCGCTCCGGCGTCGTTTTATGGAAGAGAGATCGAAAAGGCATAGCCGTCGTGGTGTGCGAAATAGAGATGGCTTCTGTTGAGATCGACAGGAGATATTTACTGCATCTTGAAACTCGACGGGGCTAATTCGCGCATGTCCACCCGTTCGGGCCCGATGTTTTCTCAAAGAGATACAGCCTGGAAGGAAGGGCACAAAACATCCATCACTAAATACTGAAACTATCTACGATTTGCTCCTCATTGTCATGCTATGGATGGACTCATGAGCAGGCTTCAATGCCACAAGCGTGGACCGGGCCCACTCCATGCTATTGGAAGCCCGTAGGATCAGATCGCCGCCGACAGCCGCCGGCACACGAATGAATGAACCGTGCGGTCCGTTGCTGGCACATGCTCTGCCCCCGGCAAGGCATGGACGGGGCAGCCCTGGCGCAGGCGATGCCGATGCAGTTCTCGCGCCGATGGATGTTGCAGAAGTGGAAGGCACCGGGTCGGGCCACCATCATCATCGAGTCGAGAAACCGCGACACAGTCGATACATTGATCAGAGTGTTCTGGTGTTCCCTCCCTCTCATCGTGCCTCCATCGCCGCTCTTGGTTGTTTCGGCACTTGCAAGCGCAGCACCCGCCCCTGCTCCGCAGGCCGACAGCATCGACCAGGCTACCGCCGCAGCCGTGTCGGCGGCCATCGCGGCCGTCACTAATGCCCCGGCACGGTCAGCCACCGCAGTCGGCACAGGTACTTCTGACACCACCGTGTCCGTCGCCGGCGTAGTCAGTGTCTCCGGTGACTTAGGACTCGACGATATTTTGGCACAAGCCCTCGGTGTCTCCAATCGGCCAAAGAACCGGCAATGCTGGTCCCTAGGTTTGGATATCAATTCTGACTACGAGAAAAGGACGCCGGACGGCAGAGTCCGGAAGGTAATCCGTGTCACTAACTGTTGTTGCTGCTGCCGTCAAGAAGCTAATGCCGACTCCGTTTCCAAACAGTTGCCGTGGACCATTGAGCAGACTTAAGACTGGAAGGGCCCTGATGGCGTGGTGAAGCCCCCCGTTGTGCTCGTCAAAGGCCAGTTTCCCGGGCCCATGCTCCGGGACAGTTGAGGCGATACCTTGCGGGGAAATGTCACCAACAAGCTTTCCAGCCAGGGCCGGGCATCCACTGGCACAGCATACGCATGCTGAATGACAACATTAACGATGGTGCACCCGGCATTGCCGAGTGCCCGACTAAGCCCGGCGCCGTCTAAGACCTGTACCTCCCGGGATGCGACAATGGCGCCAGCGAACGGGTGGCTGGTGCTGGCGGGCTTCACCGACAACCCAAGCGCGTGGCTCATGCACTGCCATATCGCGTGGCACGCTGAGGGCGGGATTGGGCGTCGACTTCCTGGAGCGGGCAGACGCACAAAAGGGCCTGATCAACAGCCAACGCCCTGGGCCAATACAGGCAACAGTGCCAGTAGTGGGTCGCGCATGCTTAGGCAACCGGATTGCAGCAGCCACGTTTAGGGGAGTGAAAGATTTGGTTGTTTGATGGGCAGTAACAGGAGGGCTTGCCGGCGTGGGCTCGGCGTCACTGGCAGGGAGGACCGTGAAGTGTGAACAATGACCGTGAATGATGACTCTGTTGTCGCGGGTGCTCCCGAGGGCCGCTGGAATCTTACGTTAGCTGAGGCCGATTTCTGGTAGGGCCGTCGGGAATAGAATGAGCTCCCACCAACGTTGTTGGTCGCGAATCTTGGGTCTTGCTGGGCAAACTTGTTGAAGAGCGTCGTCGTCGTCGTCGTTGTTGATTGGCTCTTATTTGGCGTTTGCCCCGTTTGTGCCCAGTTCTCGCGCCTTCCGGGGTCCGTCTTGAAGCAGCAGCGACTGTCCGCCCACTACCGCAGTGTGCAAATGTTGCTGTCCACTATATCATAATTGATATAAAGCGAGGCAGCCGATAAGCAGCAGCCCAGCACTCACATGTAGATTCCTCGTGCTCTTAATAGTCGAGAGTGCTCTGCGCCAAATGCACAGTAGTTAATCCTGGTCACGAGCATGGACCGTCAAGGTTGATTGCTCCCCAGCGGGGGATTGCATCCTGCCCTGTGGTCCAGGCGGTAACGCGCCTGATCCGTTTCAATGTGAAGAGAACGAAGAGGAAGAAACTGTGGGCCGACCGGACTAGATATCGTTTTTTCCGTGTCTCGGACTACATTGTTTTACACGACGAGTCTTGCCTTCAGATCTCTCCCCGCTGTAGCAGCCGCCACGAGAACACCGGCGCGTACAGTGTGACGTAGACGCGACTTTGTGTCCACACACTGTGGGCAGAGATGCCCGGACCAACGCTCCCAAAGGCAGCCGTCATTGCCAGTCCAGCTAGAGGGGCCCTCTGCTCGCTTCCTCTCGCGTGGCCCAGTTGTGTTGCGCCGATTCACCTCGGCTGCGCATCGAGTCGCATCTGCTTCCGCGCCCACTGCACCTCCAGTCAGTCCTCCGCCGCCTCTTTCGCGGATTCGAATTCCGCGTCAGCATTGGCACACGCACAAACACCCCTCCTGCCTCCCGCGTCCCAATTGCGCAAGACCGCGCCTCCGTCCACTTTGTCGCACCACCGCCCACCGCTGAGCTACTCCATCCTCAGTCCGGCATCCATCTCTCAAGCGCTCGGCCGACTATGTCGTCCTTATTTTCAAGCCTGGGTACCACGATATCCAAGGCACTCTCCCCTAAGAAACCCAAGCCAGAAGAGCCCTCTGACAAGATGGTTCCCAGCTCAGATTCTGAACGGCGCGGCCAGAAACGCAAGTCAGACATTTATGATGTCACAGACGACATAGAAGGTGTGCCTCCCTCTTTTGCTTAGGAGCGACCGGTAATGCGGGTGCAGTGACTGACAGCGAGATGCCTCCCCTGGCAGACGAGCGCGCAGCCAGCACTCCCAAGAGCGGCAGGGCGCCCCGATCAATTCGTCCAGGATCCGTGACAGCCAGCGGTAGCAAGATTAGTAGGTTGCAAAACCCTTGCGCCGCGCGCGCGCGCGGGCGGCGACCCGTGTTACTGACCTCGTATCCCAGAGCGTCGCTACCGCCTAAGCGCAGCCCAGAATGACATTTCACGAGACGTCGATCCTCGCGTAGATGCGCCCGCAAACCTCGAGCGCGCGTTCGCTCCTGATGCCGTGCGCCTGCAACAACCAGACCTGCACGATCATGGCTCGGTCATTGCTGCTGTCCCGGTAGCCGACATGGGCGGAACCGCCGGTGAGTAGACTCTTGAGCTGCCCCGTGACTTTCCTATCAGACGGTCGTCTGACCCGCCGCTGCGCGACACTGCAGATCTCTTTAGCCCGCCGATAAACGAAAAGACCGAAGTGCCCAGCTCGAGCCCCGTGAACTCACATCTCCCACCGAAAGAGGCAGGACCTAAGTCACCAGCAGCTCCCGAGGCGGCGCAAGAAAGTGTCAAGGCGGAAGCCGGAGGAGAGGCGGAAATTACAGAGGTGCAGGCGCTCCTTGACCACAAGATGCTAGAAGATGACAGCGTAGACTTGCTGGTTCACTGGGCGGGCGAGCGCGCAGAGGAGTCCACCTGGGAGCCAGAGCAGGAGATCCAGGACGGTGCGAGTGAGCTGCTTTACAGCTACTGGAAGAAGGCTGGAGGCCGGACGGAGACCCTCTTCCAGACCATGACCGAGGTATATCACGTCTTCCGCATTCTCAACCGCGAAAAGAAGCCCCGCGGCGGCTTCGTGCTCGAGGTCCAGTGGGTCGGCTATCCCGCCACAAAGGGCAACACGAGCTGGGAGGGCGAAGCCAAGCTCGAGCAGATCGCGCCCGACTTGTTGAAGGAGTACTGGGATAGTGTTGGTGGCCGCCAAAAGTTCCTCGCTAAACGGGGGCGAACCAAGAAGAATTGATGAGGGAAATTTATGACAACAAACCAGCGACGTATGGTAGATACGATGTGGTGAACAAGAGGACGACGCAGACTTGGCCCCAGCAACATCTCGGGTCACCTGCTCGGAACGTTCAGCGGGGTCAGGCAGTCAGAAGAACCTATGCAGGTCCAGTCTTGAAGTGCGCACCCTGCAAGAGGGCGAATCTGAGCCGACGTCCCTAGGTCCTTCGCAACTAACAGTGCACCGAAGGCGAGAGGCAGACTAGAGGTGATCGGCGCTGCCAGCCAAAGATTACTTAGTCTTCCCACCCCCAGACAATAGGCACTTCGCTAGCCATCAAAGAAACATCTTTTCCCTGAATCCTCAATTCTGTCCCCGTTCACAAACGAGTTTTCTTTGATCTTTTGGCCGCACGCTCATGCCTCCGGTCATCATACCTCTACAGGGGGTCCTCGATAGTGCGGATTATATGAGACCGGGCCAGAATCCGCTATATCGAGGAATCCGCACAAGCGAAATGGGGTTCAATATGAGGGTATTCCCGGTCGTATTATCTAAGCAAAGAAGCTACGGATGTCGCCCTGTACTAGTTGAGGCTGCGCAGTAAGTCTGATTTGCCGTTCGTGCTTATCTAGGCGGAGGAGGAGGTCGCTGTCGCTGCCGCTCTGCATCTCATATAGGCGGACTACCTGAAGTGCCTCGATAACCTCACTTAGAGTAACCTTTGGTATATCCACGACACCTTTATCGTCATTATCATTACTTTCCTCCTTAACGAATAGGTGGAGGATCTACTCCTTAATATGCGTTAATATATCCTGAACGAGCTCTTTAGCTGGATTGAGGAAGTTCGCGATATCTATGGCGTTGTGGATAAAAGCGGCGGAGCGTAGGTACTAGATGTCTCTTACGATATCCGCCTTTGGGTTATCGATAACCTCACTTATGGAAGGTTAACCCTAGGAGGTGTCTGCTAGTTCAGCTGCTTTCAAGGCTTTCTTAAAGCATTTAGTAATAGTTTCTTGCTTCATATTAATCTGCTATGCTTAAACACCCTAGCGAAGAGCAGTTAGAACGTTTATTATATCGTAGGGATGTCTGCCGGCGTCGTACTCCTTTACTATATAGCGCACCTATTGTCCTGGGGCGGATGAGGGTTCTCCTGATCGGGGACAAACAACCACCACGACCGAAGGGAGTTCACCGCTTGCCAGTTTCGGCGGTGTTTCCGGCGAGGTTCACTCTGGCCCTGGGCCAGAGTGAGGGCATTCCCAGATAAGGGGCCAAAGCAGATTTTCGACGGGGGAGCCAGCCACATCAACAACGCCCTGTTGATGCGACACTTGTGAGGGAATCTCTGATCATGGCATTGTCAGTCAATTGCGTACAAGAACGGGTGCAGAAGCGTAGGAATTCAATGGGGTGGAAAAATCAAGTCGGATTGGTGAAGCTGAGTGATGAAAAAAATGTCTGGCTCCGTGCTATGAAAAACGTCACGATGGCTTCAAGCCTTAAGTAGTACTGTACAAATATGCCCCTGATCAGTCTATCCCGCACTGCCCTGACACACTATTCCCTCCGCTAGAGTGCCTTCTAGCTACTAATGATGCCCTAGTCTAAGGGCTGGAATTTTGCGGTGGAATTGGTAGCCAGCTATATAATGACGGTATTCTGGAGGGGGAACATACTGCCTGCTATCTGTCTAATAGTAGATTCATATATAGAAAAGTTATCCAGTAGTAGAGCGACCTTCCGGCCGGCTATTCTACTGTTAAACTAGCGAAGCCACTCCTTAAAGAGATAGCTAGTCATCCAGGCCTTCTTATTTAAGCGCTAAGTAAGGCCCAGTACTGCTATATTAACATATGTAGCAGCGAAGGCACGGGGCCTTTTTGTAGTACCGATAAACCACAGCGGGAGACGGTCCGTTCCAGACGTATTATAGCAGAAATAGGCTGTGATTCTAGCCTTCTCTTTCTTCCTTCTAGGGAGCGCCCTTATAGACTAGGAACGGTTAGGAATCCGCTTCTAATAGAGCCTTGTTTCGTCGTAATTGTAAATGTTATTGTTGTGAAACTTGTCGAGTATACTACGGATTGCCCCTATCTCGGCCTCCGCGTTTAGGGGTATACTGCCTACTTCGCTATGTTAGGTTCGGTCTACAATACCCCTCCTCTACTAGAACCGCCATAGCCAGCTATTACTAAATTAAGGCTGTGGGAGGTCCTTATATTAAGGTATCGCGTACCAGAATCTCTCAGCCTAAAAACGTAGGGTATCGAAGTTAATGGTGACCTCTAACTCGGCGCGCTATACCTAAAGGAACAGGGCCTCCTCAAGTTCCGGCCACTTCTTAAGACAACGACGTTTCGAGGTTTCAGTGCGAAGGGAGGTGACAAGCTTCTCAAGATAGGTAAAGCAACAACTAAGGATATCGGAAACGGAGGAGGTCGAGATAGGGCGCTTAAATTAACGCTCAAACCAGGCTTTCAGCTCGAGGTTGGAGAGGTTGGGGTGGGCGACGCGGTACTCTCGGAGAGCCACTTTTTGGGCGAGGGTAATAGCCTAGCGAGGCATCTTGGGAGGCTAAACTACGTTAAGTCTATTTCGTTATAGCGGATTTTGTATGGGGACGGCTTCAGAATCGGTGCGGATTAGCGAGTAACGAGGAATTGCGGATTTTGGGTGGTGTTTTGATTTCAGACGCGTCCCCGATCCGCAATATCGAGGAATCCGCACTAGCGAGATCCGCAATATCGAGGACCCCCTGTATTCGTCAAGCCCACGTCAGCAGCCATGAAACCCACGGCCCCCGATACCGCCCCAGCCTTTGACGGTAGCAACTGGGAAGACCTGACGAGGCTTGAGGCACTCGCGAAAGTGCGACGACTTGTTGAAAAGTCAGCAGGCACGAATACGAGGAATGCTGGAGGAAACTCACACACCCCATCGCAAACACTGTCACCACCCTGGCCCACTGGGATGAGTCACGCGACGCCGATCTCTACACCGATGGCAGCAAGACCGACAAAATAATATCCATTTCTGCCCCAGGACGCCAACCTTGCCTCGCCTTTCAACGCCTCGTCAACTAGAAGGAGCAGGGCGGCCGATGCGTCTGAGACGTGCGCCTTGCTCATGACGTTTAGACCGTTGTTCACGGTGAACGGCCGCCCGTGTGACATCACAGCGCGGAGATACTGCTCGAACACTTTGCTATGAGGCGTATTAATCCCTCGACCCTCGCCGTACATGACAAGGTAGGGAAACGAGGGCACATTTGGACCGCAGCTCCTCAGCCCGATGCACGATCTTCTGCTCGATCCTGGCATGCAGTCGTTCGGGGTGGAAGTCGAGGATCTCGCCTGTCTGGTCGACATCGCTGTACGTCCGGGGGTCCACCTGACCAAGAGGCGCAGACGGGTTGATGAGAGTCGCGGTGCCAGTTACGTGCAAGTACGTTGACCCTGTGTGTTTGGCAACACCCTCCAGGAGAGCCAATGACATGACCTCGTCGTCCGAATTTGCGATCTGGACCACTACATCTGCGGCTTCACCTTCAGCGGCAAGGAGTTCTTGAAGCTCTGAAGACGCCACTACGTAGTGGACGCCAGGGAACTGGGATTTCAGCGTGCGAGCTTGTTCAGGAGAGCGGACGAGAGCCCGGACTAGATAGTCTGGTCGTTCGTGCTGGAGCAGGGCGAGGAAGTCTCCTCCAACCCAGCCCGCGACATCGGTGATAAAGATGCGGGGGGCCATGCTGTCTACTTGTTTTAAAACTTGCGGGAGTGCGATAAGCGCAAACAAATTGATCTGATGGTGGCGGGGATCGAACTTATGTGCCTTGTGGGGATAGCTAGACGCGGCCAAACTTCTGCCCGGATTATCTTCACATGCACCAATCATGTCATTCAGAGCGATACGATAAATACGAGATGCATGAACTGGAGGAGAAGGGTATGTTTACATATATTCCCATGATTGCCAACGCCCGGGATCATTTGGATCAAATGCAGCAAGTTCGTTACCCACTTTAGTCTAACGTACTCCAGGCCTTTACCACAAACAATGTCTCATCAACGGGCCATCCAGATAAAGGCGGCCGGCAAGGCAGAACTCGTCACGGACGCACCGCTCCCCGAGCTTCGCGATGACCATATCCTCGTCAAGACCGCCGCAGTGGCGCTGAACCCGACCGACTGGAAGCACATTGATTTTCTCGCGAGCCCCGGGGCTATCGTGGGCTGCGATTACAGCGGAACGGTGCAAGCGGTTGGGGCTGCGGTCCGGAATGGATTCAAACCAGGTGATCGAGTAATGGGCATGATCCACGGGAGTGAGCTTGAACTCTTTGTAGGGGGCGGTCTCGTAAGCTAACTACGGACCAACCACGGTCTCAAGGTAATCACTCCAACCACCAAGACGGCGGATTTGCGGAATACGTCACCGCCAAGGGAGACACGCAGATGAGGATCCCAGTCGGCATGTCATTCGAGGCGGCTGCGACGCTCGGCGCAGGCATCATCACGTTGGGTCAGGCATTGTACCAGTCTCTCGGACTGCCGCTTCCCGACGAGCCTGCAAAGGCGGCATTCCCTGTCCTGATCTACGGCGGGAGCACCGCAACCGGGAGTCTAGCGATCCAATTCGCAAAGCTGTAAGTTCTTGAACTAGAGTCAGTGTCCACTGCTTCGATTTGCGTTTGTTGATCGATAGAAATAATTAGGTCCGGCTTAGAAGTCGTCACGACCTGCTCGCCTCGACACAACGACTTTGTTCGCGGCGTAGGCGCAGACCACGTGTTCGACTACAACTCGCCGCAGTGTGCTGCAGACATCCAGAAAGCAACCGATAACCAGCTCCAGTTCGCATTTGATACTGTCGCGACCGAGGATACGGCCAAGATCTGCGTGGATGCGTTTGGGACTGGCGGCGGCAAGTATACCTCGCTAAGCCCCATTCCAAAGCTGCAGCGCGACGACGTTGTCAACCTCAACACCATGGCCTTTACTGCTGTCGGAGAAGCGTTCCATATCGGAGACCTGAGCGTTCCGGCAGTGCCGGAGGAGTACGCATTCGCCGTCAAGTTTGTTAGGCTTGCCCAGGAGCTTTTGACGCAGGGAAGGATAAAGGCCCATCCGTTTGAAGTGCGAGACGGTGGTCTGGAGGGAGCGTTGAGCGGGTTGCAGGAGATGCGCGAGGGGAAGATATCTGGAAAGAAGCTTGTGTATAAGTTGAACTAGTACTCCGTGAGGCTATCATATATCGTGGCGGCCAAAGCCCTCCTCTCCCTAGTCAGGCGTCACGGCACTGACAATCCCCGTGAGCAAAATTCACAGCCCAAACCCACCACCAACCCCTGGTTTCGGAACCATCCCAGGCGTCTACTGTTCAGGACCCTGCTGGCCAGATGACGCGGATATGCTGTGCATGTTTTGATTTAACTATGCAGGATTATTGGGCTGACGCTGCTGTTCCTGCGGGCTGGTGCGGTCCCGGGGGATTTGGCTCTGAGATCGGCCTAGGAATTGGGCGCCAGCTGTTCGCTGGCCAGAACCAGCGTGGAACGATTGCTTTTGCATGGCTACCCGAGCAGATTCATCGTAGGGCAGCTGAGAAGACTGCTGTGGCTGCATATCCGGAACATTGGTACCGTTGTGATCCCGCAGGCAATGATATTATGGGGCGATTACGGTAAGGCCATAAGCAGTGGTTAGGGTGTGGGAGGCTTGGGGCTTCCCAAGCAGTACAGGGTGATGGCGGCCATTACGGCTAACATAGTGAATGGCGGCCACTACATGACTAGTCCCTAAGTTCGTCCCCGCTTAAGGTGTCTCCTTGGCACCTGGGCGTGTTGAGACGCGACGGGCATGCAGGCCTTGAGTCGATGCAACGCCGCTGGCAGTCTTTCACCACAGTTATGCCCGTAGATGACGTTCAGAAGCATGGCCTGTACTAGCCAAACCGGTGTATGCCCTGAAGAATCTGGGCCTTGGGCACCCGGCTCGGTGATGGGAGTCCTCCCGAAGTCGGCTTTACGGACGTCGACCTTTCGGCGTTCCTCGAGATATAGTTTTGGGTGCTAGGCAGATTCTTGCAATGTTCAGGGAGCTTGTCGGAATTGGCCTGATATTGAGGGTGAAAGCGGCGAGCCTGCACTGGAAAAGGAATACTTTCGACCTCCAAAACTGGAGCACTGCGAAAGGGCTGACAAGATAGCAGCTCTTGTAGTATCGGTGATGGTGCTTGCGGGAGACGGCGCATGGTGTACTCCATTCATAGATATAGGGGTCTCTGGCTCGGTCCAGAGTATAATGCCTGTTTGAGATTTTGTGCGCCGAGTCCAGGCATGACCGAAGGACTGAGGGAACTCATTGACGGCGGAGGCGTTGAAAAGTAGACATCATACATCATCTTCTGGGATGGAGGTTGAGGTGAAACGGGGGCACCATTGAGGAGATCGGGGAAGGCATTGGCATTTATATCCACGCTGAACGGGTTGTTCATCTGCGGCGGTCCCATAACCGCCGGGTCCCACATGGAGCTGGTGGCAGCGGCGGTCACCGCGGGTTGGTTTGAACCATCGAGCATCACGTCACTCATACCGCTTTGGCTGGTCGTGCTCATGGCAGACGGAGAGGAACCATCCACGGCATTTTCATTTGCATTGTTGAATGACATGCCCTGCTCAAGCCCAGTTAACCCGAGCTTGGGGGCTACCAATGCACCACAACCTGTACCATGGTTTTGGGGGTACGTCGAATATCATGGGCCAGCGCGGTTCAAACCACGGGCTGCCAAAGTTGGAGACTCACGGGGCCAATAGCATGGACTTCGGGGCTGCCTTGCGCACCGCTCCCCCATTAGCCTTCGGACAACCCGATTTCGACTTTGAGGGCCTGCTCTTTGGCCACTCTGCCAATACGATCAACTCTAACGCATTGCACTACAGTGAATCGCCTCACTCTATGGCTATGGACTCCGCGTCTCCCCTTGGCAACGGCATGGCCGACATGAGTGCTACCCAACCTTTGGATGAGAACTTTGACTGTGACGGACGACTGAGGCGTTGGCTGCCGCGATCATCTGCATAGCAGTACCGTCTACATGGCTGATGGTGTTTGCCCTCGGCCGCATAGAAGTGTTGGTGGCAGCAGAGGCGTTGGCATTGGCAACGCTGTTCTTGCGAGCACGGCTCTGGCCGGCAGCAGCACTGCTGGTGCTCTCCCTACGGTTTCTAGGCCGGGAGGAGGGCGTGGTAGTCTGGTGGAGCTTCTGCTGGTGCAGCAGAAGCAGATCCCGTCGGGCAAAGCATCTTGTGCACTCGGGACACTCGAAGGGCTTCTCCTTGGTATGGGATCTCTCGTGGCGTTTCAGATGCTCGAGGCGGGCAAAGGAACGCTGACAAGTCGCGCACACATGGGGACGAGGCTTGTCGGTCTTCGGCGGCGGGAAGTTGGCGGGAGCCTTGGTGGTATTGACCGTAATCGTGGAAGCTAAAAAAGAGGAAATACAGTCAGTTTCAGCAGTGAGCACGACGTCGACGGTGTCTTTGGTCGATCGAGAGTTCGTAGGAGGGAGTGATGGAGGGTCAGGGCCTCATACCAGATTCGTCGCTGCCAGCAGTACTCCCGGTCGCTGCGGCGGGCGGCGTGGAATTCGACATGACGACCTAGATTTGTAGAGCTACACTGAAGTCCTGCTCGATGGCACGATCGCGACGAAGGCAGCGGTCAAACAGCAAGACGACAAATGGAGCGAGAGTTGGTCGTCGAGATGCAGCCCGCGAATATGGGACGGTGGGCAGTGGGCTTTGGTGGGGAGGAATGCAGCCCAGCCAGCAACGAGAGAGAGAAGAGGAAAGGCGCTGAGAGTCCACCGTCTGTGCCGCCTGTCGCATGCTACTGACGACTCTGAACAAGAAAACAAATTCTCGTACAACGGAGTCTAGAGCAAAACTGGCGGTCCTTTTCCAACAGAAAACCTCTCTGTCGAAGCAATTGCTTGCCGGAACAGCAGAAGGTTCAGCAACTGAATTGGCTTGGGGATTGGTGGTGCGCAACCATTGCAGGAGCAACGAAGGCTAAACGACTGCAGCGCACTTACTCACTACGCAGCGTAGTGACCCAAAGGTTTGCCAGAGGGCGCCTGCGAGCGCTGTGTCGACACCAAAGCTCCCAGCTCTGGGGTCTCCAGCCAGTGGAACGGTCCCGCAACCTCGTACGGACCAGCACCGTACATTGCGGCCACTTGATTGAGCCACGGGCGACCTGCAGCATGGGTACCCTCTACTTAGCTCCCCTTTGTCCGACGGGTTTCTTGCCTAAAGCAGGGACACGACTATGGGGTCTTGGGTAAAGCCCGGGGCAATCATGGTGCAGAGGTTCGTGGCTGGTCCGCCTCTGATTGGGTACATCCGACAGGGACCCCATAATTGCAGTCACGAGATCAGGCCATTCCCAGCATGTACTGTGGGCCGCGGCGGCGCGTACCCTCTTAGAAGCCTAGGGGATCTACGGAGTACTTGCGTAACTGTTCCCTATCCCACGGCAGGGTTCATTTCGCTTTCTTGCATCACTCTCTGCCCTTCGCCTCCTCTAGCCGGGGGCTCGTTCTGCTGCCTTACTTGTCTGACCTTCCAGAAGCCTGTGAGATCTCGGTCTGTTCGGTACTGCTGAACCAGTGCTGAGTTATACTTGGGTTTTTGGGTCAAATTCCGAGCAAGCTGGTTGGCTGTGGGGACTCGAGCCGTTTCTGCCCTCAGATGACGAGTTTGAGACTTGAGACGCGCTCACGTTAATTTACACACGTAGAGATGGAGGAGATGGAAACTATCAAACCGTTCACGCTGGCACCGTGGGAGAAGAAGGAGTACAAACAATTACCGGCACAGAAATAACAAGACAACCAGACACAAACAGGGCAGCATACATAGCAGTAAGCAGCTCAGCACGAAACGGCATGGTTGGATTTGGAACTGCAATCAAGACACGCAAACACGTTGGAGATGCCCCCACTGTCGAGACTCTGTCCTACACTCTAGGCCCAAGGACAGAACAGAACCCTTACGTGGGTGAACTAGCAGCAATGGCACATGCCTTGGAGCAGCTACCGCGGCGCAAGTACCACAGCATCACGCTTCTGACGAGGAACAAAGCAGCTGTGCTTACGCTTAGAAATCCACGACAACAGTCTGGCCAGGAACATATTTGCAGCATCTACGAATCCATTGCAAAGCTCAAGAGAAAATGCAACCAAATTACGGTGGTATGGCTGCCATCAGGTGAAGATGATGAACTCTGGGCTTGTGCCAAAGAGAAAGCCAAAGAAGCTACACAACAGGGCAAAGAGCCACAGACACTAGTTCCCAGAGTGAGATCGACGACACTCAGAATAGCACGCGCCAAACGAGGTACTACCAGGAGCTTGCCGAGGAAAGTTGGAAAACTCTCCAAGAGAGTAGATACAGCACTGCCAGGCAAACACACTCGAGAACTGTACGACCAGTGTGTGTGGAAAGAAGCTACAGTGCTTGCCCAGTTGAGGACGGGAATAGCAAGACTAAACGCGTACCTGTTCCTTATCAGAGCTGCACCATCTGATCAATGCGACTGCGGGGAGGCAAGAGAGACAGTTGAACACTTTCTGTTTCGATGCAGAAGATGGACAGAACACCGAACCGAGATGCTCCAATGCACAGAAACCCACAGAAGCAATATCTCATTCTACCTGGGAGGAAAATCATCGTCTGATGGAAAGAACTGGACCCCCAACATGAAAGCCGCCCGAGCAACGTGTGACGACCCGACCAACAGGTCGCAGGATCAGGCCAAGGACAAGGGCAGATCATGCACGCGGGGCAGGCACACCCCGAGGTTCTTATGTAATCACGATCCTTATGTCAGCAGGACGGCCGGGTAGGATATGTGGATCGCAACGTATCCAGCGATCCCGACACAGGACACAATGAAGAACAAAGGATATATAGATGGAGGATCTCCTAGACCAGACAGTCATTACCTTTGTACTTCAGCGATCAATCTAAGTATCAGTTTCACCACACACTTGAACTAGTCACTCAATTGCCGAGACTGGTATCTCTTCCAAGAGACACGACAACCCCAAGAGAGAACGACAGCAGAGAGTTAGTTGTTATCGCACAGGCTTTACCTATCTTGCAGAACAGCAATCCCAGCGCCCTGCCAGACGGCTGACCCCGGAGGCAGGATCGTGACACAACGATACGATTCGCCATAGCCACAGGCCGGCTTGACGCAGACCCCTGGCATGGAAACAGCCAATAATCACGACTATCAACAACCACCTATCGACCGCCTTTCACTAACCACCTCGTGCCAGAAACAGTAGGCGCCGCTTCAGTTGCCGAGGATAGGATGCTTGTTAAGTACTGGCCCTAGGTCTGAACAGATACTAGGCGTATTAGATTTACTACGAGCTTGGGAAATAAAAGCAGGTAGTTCGCACTCTCCGTGAGCGCGTTACGGTTTTGTTACCCCCCCCCTGTCTCCCCCTTTTTGACCCACCCAGGCTCGGGCCAGAGCCCGAGCCCGTAACATACCCTCCTCCTCCCCCCTCCTAAGGTGGTCGGTGTCGGGACCGCCGCCCCGGACTATCGTTCCTCCGGACTATAGCTCGAATTGCTTACCGGTATTTGGTAGCGTATCGCGTAGCCTCGCCTCTCGCGATATAGTTCACGCGTAGAAACCGCTTGGCTCCCGCGTAGGGGTCGCTTGACTACCGCGTTACGTTGGTCGAGCGTAGCGTGAGGGTCCGGGTACGCTCGTATCTGACGTATGTCCAGACACGACGGCTGCCCGAGAGTATCCCTTTGCGGTCCGGGGCCGAGTCTCCCTTCCCCTCTTGCTGGGGTTCTAACTCTCCTGGTTCTCTCCGTCTCTGTGATCCGGTGTGGGCGGTACGCTTCCGACGACTGCCTAAGGGTGGCCTCCCGCGGATTGGCGTCGGGCTCCCGTCTCTTCCTCCGTGGAGTTCCGTCCTCCTCGCTTTCCCTCCTTCTCGCAGTTCGGGCCCGGGTGCGTCGCGCGCGCTGCGATCCCTCTGCTAGCGCGCTTCATCTATAGGCGTAGGACCCGCCGTGCCTCGTGTGCTGGTTCCTGCGCGGTGAAAAGAAGGCCCGGCGCGCCTCGTGTGATGGCGCCGCCGCGGCGAAAAGTGGGGCGCGAGCCGGCCGGGCGACGTGCGCTGGCCGGCGCACCGGACCCACGTGGTGCGCTCGCCGGCAGGCCGCCCCTCCTCCTCGACATATATATAAAGCCCTCTCCCACCTCCCACCCCTAAGTTTTTTCCCTCTTTCCTCCTCCTCAAGTCGCTCTCGCAGCTGCCCCGCGTTGGCAGTTTTCTTGTGTTTTTCTCTTCCCCGGTTTCCGCGCCGCTTCCGCGCCGTTTCCGCCTCGCGCCCCGCCACCATGTCTGCCGCCGTCGACTTCACTCCGGGCAGCACTGCCACCGGCTCCGGTGGTGATCCGCCTCGCCGCCCCAGCGGTAACGGCAAGAAGCCCCCCCCCTCCCGCAACGACAACAAGAAGCGCAAGCGCCGCGCCATCCACGGCATCGAGCTGGAGGGCGACTCTTCCGACGAGGAGTTCGCACCGCCCCAGGACGCAGGCTTGCCCTGTGTTATCTGCATGACACGCGCCTGCAAGACGGGCGAGTACGACTGCCAGCCCGGTCGTGGCAAGTTCTGCGCCGCTTGCGTCAAGGCCCACAAGAGTTGCGACTAGGGTTCCGACATCTTGCCCCACGACGCCAAGGCACGCGCTGCTTGGAAAGCAGTCGCACGTGCCATTAAGGCAGGCGGACATATCACCACCCCGAAGAAGGTGAAGACCGGCACCACCAAGGGCAACAAAGCCGTCTTGTCGCCCGCGTTTCGCGCCATTGCCGACCGCATGTTGAACATCCTCGAGGACTTCCCTCGCCGCCGCTTCGCCAGCGAGACGGGTGCCGACAAGAAGTCCGGTGGCTCCGCCTCGAAGGAGCTCGTTCTCGCCCCCACTCCGTCGGGTGCCCGTGGCGGCAGCGCCAACAACCATCTTGTGCGCATTGCGCAGTTTCTCAACAACCGTTTCGACCACATCGACCGCCGCTTTGATCAGCAGGAAGAGTTCAACAAGCAGGTCGCTAGCAACCTCAGCGACACCGCTCAGCTTACTGCTCACTTGATGCAGTCCATCGGCATAATTCCGCAGCGTGGTCTCCCCGCGCCCACCCCCTTTGGTGGCCGTGCTCAAATTGAGTACGACCCTCCCTCCAGCAGCACCCCGTCGACTCCGTCTCGCACCCCCCGCGCCACCCAGCAGCGCCCTCGTACCAACCGTTCCGGAGGACGTTCGGGTCGCTGTGAGCGTCAGGCGGAACTCCAGCCAACCCTCCCTCCTGTCGTTGCGGAGCCTGAGCCCACCAACCCTTTTGTCGTTGAGCAGGCTGCCCCTGCCCAGGGCGATGTCGACTCGGATCTCGGTGGCGGTGACGACGAGTCCGAGGTGTCCGAAGCTGAGTAAGCAGTCGGAATGCTTGGAGTACCATGACGTGTACTAGATGAAGGTTGAGGGTTCGCGAGTTGGGTAGGGAATGGGGGAGGATTGGGAGTTGGCCGAGTTGGGAGACGTTCGTGTACCGTAGCCGCCGTAGCCGCCCCCCGCCCGTTGAGGGCCCGAATACCAACCGCATCAGCAACACCGGTGCCCCCGTTCCGTTTCCGTAATGAGCTTGGTCCGTCGTTGTGTCGGATGTCCCCCCAT